CTCATAAAGTATTTTTCTGAGGTCTGTCTTATCAGGTAAATTACTGTACACAGTGTATTCATTAATTTTCATTTTCATGTAGTAAAGGCTCTATGCCTTCATAAAGGATGTACTTTTCCTTTGTTTAAGGGTATTTGGGCAGTTTATTCTCTGTTGTATTCTCAAGCAAACAATACATACAAGTACAGTTCAATATTTTCTGAGGAAACACGCATACTTATCCTTTTTTAACCCCATTTCCGATAATCCGGCATTTTCACAAACTCGGCCACCCTTCGGTCCACATTAGGCCGAGCTTTCGAGGCTCTACTGTACTACATTTGGCATCATATGTGAGTATATAAATTTTTACCTGGCATATTTTTCCAGTTTTATTATATACATTATGTTATTATTATTGATATGCTGGTAAGAATGATAGATAATTAATCAAAATAATCAACACCTAATCCGTTGCCGAGGGAGTTTATTTAAAAACGGACGTTTTTGATCTACTTCATAGATCATCTTCAAGTTGAAAAAACAAATATGGAATAACCACAAAGAATAGAACATTAAATTTAAAATTCAAAAATATTGACAACTGAGTAATTAAGTAAAATAATTAAAGTGTAAAAATACCAATTGTAAAAATAAATAACATACAGATAATTATTTAACCAAGTTCAAAAGTACTGAGTACAGTTTTAGAATACAGGTTTAATAAATAATACTGTTATTTAATCATTTATTGGGGATGCCAACATACTTAAATTCTATGAGACAGTTTAAGGTGATTTTGACAGTCTTACATATATAGTCAGTCTAATATGTGAAAAATTGATTTCTCTAAAAATAGAAGAGTATAAATTTTGTGGTTTAGAAGTTACCTTTGATGCTTATCATGTGTTGTCTAAATATAAAGTTTTATAAACAAAAAGATTTTGTATTTTAGAAAAGAATTTCTGTCAAGTTATGATTTTATAAGTTTGTTGCATAATAATAAGAATGAGCAAATATTTATTGTAATATTGTCACAGTGCTGGACTGTGCAACTTTTAATCATTTTTAATTTAAAAAATATGCTCTCCAACTCAAATTAGTACTGTAGTTCCTTGCCTCTGTACATCAAACACAATCCATATGGGCTGTACCTAGAGATAGGACAACAAAACTCCACTTGGGTCTACTTCTTAGACATAAATATCAGTGATGAGGGGTCTGGCATTTGCACGTCAGTGTTTCGTAAACCACATGCAATCTCCATATACATTCTGATTGGATCACCTGATCCATTCCCATACAAAATTGCAGCCTTCAGACCTTAGAAGGGTGTACTGTACACACACACCTCTATCCCCAAGCATTGGTCAAGGAATTAAGACTTATAGAATAGGTACCAGAGCACATGGTTACATCAACATTATAGAAAGATTGTGTGAATGGTACTGACATACACAGGCAGGGTCCACCCTCCCAACAGACCTGCCAATGGATAAACAAGAGGAGACACTGGAAAGGATTCCTCTTACTTTTAACTCACGTTTAAAGTCCTTATATACCACAATTGCAAAGAAAATGCGGGTTAATATTATGTACAGGAGATGCCCCTCCATGTTCAGCCTACTATGCAATGGAAAGACCTTCCCAATCCCAGCAAACTTCCAGGCATATATAGAGTCTCCAAGGACAACAGAAGGGATAGGAACTTAGGGTACATTAGATTGACTAAGTGTTCAATAGGGATTAGGATAGTAGAACATAGACTGGACATACAACATGATAAGAACAACATGACCCTCTCCACATTTGCCACGGATCCCAATATTATGACAGACTTCTCTGGAGACAACTCATTCTTACTACTCCATATGCAAAACACCTCAGATGGCTAGAGGTAGTGGAGATTTTTAAAGCTTATTCCACATCCACTTGCATAAATTTTAGAGAAGAGATGAGTTTATTGATGACTTGGCAGGCTTTACTTGACAGCAGAGTTTAATTGTCAATCTTATTAAAAAGTAGCACAGGAATATGCATGTGCAGGAATCCCTTGTTCAAATTTTTGAACTTACGGTTCAATTCTATATTTGAATATTATATTCTGAAAAGAATTTCAATTATCCTGCTAGTTTGAATTTAAAAATACCTGCAGAAGAACTCTGAAGGAGTTAAGAAAACATTTGTTGTTTGATGTTTAACCTTAACACTGGATATTGGTTTTTGTGCATGGTATTATTTTATTTTAATATTTTATGAATTTCAGATTTCATTCTACATGAAAAAATTGAGAATCTACAGAAAGAAAATTTACAAACATTACATACAAATTAAAAGCTTTCATAGAATCTTTTTGAGTTTAAAATAATGTAATAAAATTGAGAAGTGTTGATTTAAATAAAATAATGAAAGGACAAATAAAAAACAGTTCAGTTTTTATGAAATTAGTCAAATAGTTAATATGTTTGATTTATTAATGCAGTGGTTTCCAAAGTTTCTGTACCTCCGCACCGTCTTTTTTCAGAAAAAGTTGTTGCATCTCCCTCAATTTTTATAACAATCTAATTTCATGAATACTGTCATTTTTATTTAATAGTCCACAAAACATTATACCTTATTAAATAAAGTATATTGTTTGTTGGGGCTCGACTCTTGTCAACACATTTTGGCAAGAGTATGGATGGATTTTTACTATTTATACACAAGTCATTCAGTTGAAGGTTGTGAATTAAGCATAACTGTTTTGCTGATTCATTTTTTAAACATCAGTTTGACTTTTTTTGTTTGCTCATATTAAAAAATGACAATTTGGTAAAAGCTGTACACCCCTTGCAATAGTCTCATGCCCTACAGATTGGAATACATTGTATTAATTCAATGCATCAAAAATTGCAGATTATACTAATGTCCCCAATTTTGCCCATTAAAGACTGCCTCAAAAATCAATGAAGTTAGTCAGAGCATTAAGATTGACATCAGGCACATCCAGATAAAATGATTCAAAATTATTCTAGATATTTCAACTGAGAGTTGAATCTATTAGACAATGCTGGAGTGCAATTTTTAATTAATCATACTTTTTAATTTATTTAATTTAAAATATATGCTCTCCACCTCAAATTAGTAGTGTCTTGTCCTGTACATGATACTTTTCCTGTTAGCAAGAGTGTCATGCCAGTCATCTATCTAAGTCCTTTCAAGGGAAAATATTTGAATTGAAATAATGTGACTTCTGGTTTGCATCAGAAGTTTGTATATAGTTAACTGAAGCCTTCTATCCCTAATCTTTCTATATCTGGCATCAGCTTTCATCCATCTAACTCCATTCTCAAAATTAAGGACAAACAGGTGAAAGAACAACATTTGAAATTTATATGACTACAATTTTTTCAAATTGCAGCCCAACGAAGTATAGGTGAAAACTTATATTTTAAGGCAAGTATAAAAAATGCAAGAAACTGGCACCATAATATAAAAGATCAAATTGCTAGAATAAAATAAAAAAGATTACAGCATATGTAAACAACAGAAAGATAAAAAATCAGATTTTGATATCACACACACACACACAATGTTGAAAACATTCAAATTTTTATTTTTTTATAATTTATTCTTTGTCTCACATTCTATGTCCATTCTAAATTTTTGACAATATTCTGTAATGTTAAAATGTTTGATTTAAAATATTTCATTTGCTTTTATAGTATTTTCTTCTTTAAACTGTGTAATACTAAAATCAAATTCATCTTTCATAAAACTGCTAAGTTCAAGAAACAAAAATTAAACTAAAGTCCACTAAAATTCATTCACTGAAGCTTTTGCCTTTGGAGTATAAATTTAAAGCTAGTTTATTAAGTTAAGCTGCATGCTGGGAGACTTTTGTCGGATATATATATCATTGGTGCATAAGAATAGTGACACAACTCAAAAATTTCCAATTTTGAGTTTATTGTAAAAATGTATAGTAGACTCACCATATTTTTGTGGAATAACGAACACTAATATTTATTTCCAAAAAAGATTTGAAAATTTTAAAAATCCAAGATCATGACAAAGCCTTGCAGTAAACAAGAAACTTTTAAATGGCTGTTCTGGAAGATCTATTTTTTTTTAGTTCTGTCACTATTCTTGTGCACCAACAATATATAAAAATTCATAATGGAACCCATGATGGAAAATTGTTGGAGTTTAAACTGTATGCTGAAAACCCTACTGAGGAAACCTAATATTTTTGGCAAAATGCATTTAGGCGATTTAACAATGTAATGAAGTATTTTTCTCTGCAAATTTGGTTTGCTTTTATCTTTAACTTATATGCAAGCAGTATGTTAAAGATGAGTTTGGAAGCAGGAACAAGAAGAGAGCACTGGATTTCCTATATTTATTGGCTATACAAAACTCTGTTCAGTTTAATTTATAATGTGCACACATATCTGCTTATTTGCATTAAGAGATTGTATATCATATTTAAAATAATTGTTTTTATTGCACTTTTGTTTTATGGCAATTATCAAATGTGATTAAACTTGCAGTGATATTGACAACAGATGCATCATCAACAGTAGTTTCCTTTCGCAAACATAAAATTGAAATGATAGCAACATGTACTAAACCCACATCAGTATTATTTCTAGCTATAAAAATAATGTAATTTTTACATTGTTGTTTTTCATCTGCATGTTCTAATTATATAAGTGGTATAGTTCACATATATAACATAATAGTCTTAAAAAGACTTCATAATTATACTGATCATCCTTAAAACTATACTCGAGCAAATTCTAGTTTAAACCGCCAGTCGTAAAATATAAAAATGCCGGTGGCCTTTGAATATTTTTATATTTTACGACTTATCTACGCCATTCTGAAACATTATTATTATATTATACAACTTATTTTATTGTTTACTGTTACGAATATATAAATTCTGCTGATTACTTATATAAATAAATTGACATAAAATCATGTATTGTTAGAAACACATGGCTTACATTTTCTCCATTTCATGTCAGAATCAACCACCTTGTCCACTAAAGTTACATCTTTAAATCGCTTCGCTTGATTCTCTCTTACTTTGGAAGGATCTCCTCCTTTATCGACTCGAAATACTTCCAGATCTAAAACCATTTTAATTGTAAAAATCTCGCAGAAAAACTTTTAATTAATCTTTTTACATCAAAGCTGATGCAACGTCTGCATAAGAAAGAGACTAGTGGTGCCATCTAATATATATATATTGAAATTCAAATAAAAAATAATTATGTTTAAAAAATTATTATAAATTCATAGTAACTTTGTTTAATATTTATTTTTAATTGATATTATAAATTTTTAATTTTAAAAAGTATTATTAATCCAGTCCATAATAGGATTTTTTGTTTATTTTTAAAAATTTCTGCCCTGTGGGCACTAAGATGGCCTCTTTTGGCAGGCCCATTATGGGTTCGGCCAGGTCAACAATGAGGCGACCGGGTGGTGAGGGACGGGGCCCGACATATCCGAACAGACCACCTCCTCGAAAACTTCCTGGGGATTCCTTGACCCATCCGGATTCGATCCGGGATCCCCCAGAGCGGTAGTCTGCCCCTTGACCACTCGGCCATCCGGCCTCTTAATTTTTAATTCCTTGTGCTGTGGTCACTACGAGGGCCATTTCAGTAAGCCCATTCAATTCGATCAGGCACATTGAGGCGGCCAAGTAGTGAGGGACGGACCATTCTGCAAAACATTCTTGGGGTTTTCGACCCCTTCGAATCGGATCCCCGAATCCTGTTCCCCAAGAAATTGACTACCATCTTAACCACTCGGCCATCCGTCTGTCGTCCCTAGACACAAACCTACTCACTTGATAATGTAATAATAGATCTGCCACTGCACGTAAGAAGTCTGAGTTTTGTCAAACACACAATTCTTTAGCCATATAGGGAGGAAGTGGGAATGTCATATAAAGTCGCCATTAAATTTTTAAAACCGACTCGATTCGAACTTGGTTTCCCAGACAGGGAGTATTTTTTCTACCGATTCAGTTACACATCATCAATAAAAATTGGTCACGTTCTAGATAGGTGATATGCAAATCACGGCTCCCGGACTAAATTTAGTGTGCGGAATACGGTAATCCAATGACAGTGACCGAAAAGTTGTAAATTTTGGAAATTGCCGTGGACCTGGTCCTAAAACGAATTAGTTAGAAAACAAACGACGGACAATCTATTAAGTTTAACATATTTAGATTTTTACAGTTAAGGTGAGAAACGTTTAAAACGTACAACAACTCTGTCGCGTTCTTTGAGGTATACTAGTAATGAGACAAAAGAGGCATTTGACATTGATCGGTATCGGCACCCTCGAGATTTGGCAGCCCGCGTGCATGCACCTTCTAGGACCGTCTCTGATTCCATCTATTAGTCACTCGTAGGGAGCTATTTGTTTAAATGAATTGTTTTAAGATTTAAAAAGTAAAGAAGATTTTGTTATTTTCATGTACAGTACGTTTCTTTACAAAGCTATACTTAATTATAATCTTCTTTAAAAGTATATTAATATAATTGAAGAATATTTTGTACCAGGTATGTACTGTACATCCACCACACATTTTATTTCAGCAAGTAAGTTATTATTATTTTATTTATCATTTTAGCCCTTATATCGTGGCTAGCGATTCAGAATGTAATTGTGATATTAAAAATACATTTAGAGAAGTCTACGGTTTTTACCAGGGGCGTGCCGTGACATTTGATGATAGGGAAGCTGTGTTTCTATAAGAAGCCGACTTCCAGGGGCAATCAGTTAATTCTTTCTTTAAATGTATTTTTAATAGATTATTTATCTGACGTACTTAATAAACAAGTTTAATATAATTACCTCTGTTATTAAATCCAATACATTCCATATGCCCTCTAAATGCCAATTCTTGCTTTGATAAAAACATATAACATCTATTTATTTAGATATAATATATCTATTACCCATAATTATCTCGTTACAATTTTCAATATTTATTTTATATTATTTACTAATGTTAAATTCTATTCCGCTTCGATTTCCAAATTGCTTCAAATACGAAAGAATCGACGATTTTTCGTGTCTTTTGCCAGCTAAATTGTCAAAGACATTCTTATTCCACACACTAATTTCACTCTGTAAATGCATTTTTATGCATTTACAGAGCCATTTTATCGTGAAAATATCGAACAAATTTTTTTATTGAAGCGTTTATATTTAACTTAGGCATTGGCCTTTCTCTTTTAATAATGTTTTCTTTTTCATTATATGATCTCGAGCCAAAACTTTTTTAAAATAAATTTTCAATATCGCAATTACATTCCGAATCGCTAGCCACGATATAAGGGCTAAAATTAAAAATAAAATTATAAAAACTTACTTGGTGAAATAAAATGTGTGGTGGATATACATACCTGGTACAAAACATTCTTCAATTGTATGAATATACTTTTAAAGAAAATTATAATTAAATATAACTTTGTAATGAAACGTACATGAAAATAACATAAAATATTCTTTACTCTTTAAATCTTAACCACTTAGTCAAATAGCTCCCTACGAGTGGAATCAGAGACGGTCCTGCTAGGTGTGCGGTGTGTACTGTACATGCACGCGGGCTGCCAAATCCCGAGGGTGCCGATACCCTCGGGATTTGGCAATGTCAAATGTTTCTTTTGTCGCATCACTAATATACCTCAAAAGACGCGACAGGGTTCTTGTAAATTTTAAACGTTTCTCACCATAGCTGTAAAAGTCTAAATATGTTAAACTTAATAGATTGTCCGTCTTTTGTTTTCTAACTAATTCGTTTTAGGACCAGGTGTTGTCCACGGAAATTTCCAAAATTTACAACTTTTCGGTCACTCTCGTCGAACTGGAAAAATTTCTGTCTTTATTACATCTAATACAGTATTTCGAAGAAATCAGTCCCCACTGTACTCGGCTATAGATTGGTTCGGTTAAGCTTTTGTTTAAGTAATATTCCGGCTCTTTCATCAGGGTTTTGTTTATGTCCCCAATTCCCTAATCGCTTAATTATTTAACTACTTCTTAAGTAGAAATAAGTCGAAACCAGTTACTTTGTACTCGAATATTTGTAGTCTCGGGAAAAAGTGGAAAGACAAATTTTTATGACAAACGGATACATAAATCGTAAATTTAAGGAAAATAAATTCTAGAGCCTTTTCTGTACCTGGTGCATCTCTCTCATTCATTAAATTTAGTTGTAAATGACGCTGTCGAAGTAACGGTTAATTTTTTAACATTATACAAGAATTGTACACGTTTTTTTCTACATCCCCTTAAAGATGGGATGTACGAAATCGTAATATCACTGGTTTAACATCGAAATCCGTGAGTAATATAAAATCGGAAAGCGGAATAAATCTATCAAATATTTTAATGGATTTTTTTAACTCCTGTCAACTATACAGAACTATCGTAAAAACATACCAGTAAATTCTTATCGGTTGGGTTAAGTTATAAATCTACTCGTTATTCACGTAATCGAAATATCTAGTGGGCAGGCGGCTAACAGCCCAGAACCGGTCCTTGATAGAATTGGAATCTTTATATGTGTGCAGCTTTCACCCAAGGTCGTAGGCTTCCACCGGCTAAACCGGGTGAGGTTGGTGCTCTGTAAAGCGCATGCGCAAATCTGGCTTTTTGGAATCTGAAAATTTCAGAGATTCCACTCTGCCACTAATATTCGAATATACAAAAGCAATTTTTTTTCACGTGTAGTATAGAAATTTGTAATAAGATACACAATGCGGTTATAATAAAATATTGTGCGATTATTTTCATATAATTAAAATTAATATTTATTTATTTTTTTAGAAAATACAAGGGAAGCGGCGCTTCCACCGCTTCTAATGACGGCACGCCACTGCCTTTCATATTTTTTGAGTAATCCTACAATGGTGATTTTCTTGTAACCTAGGGTCTGGGCTACTTGCAATATTCTATCAATTTCTTTATTCCTGTCACCGATTCTATCACAATACAAATAAGCTCTTATCAAAGTTTGAAATGCGGCCATTTTATATCGATAGGGATCCATGGACTGTGCTGATATATATAGCGTGGTGTGAGTAGGTTTAATATATACGCTGGTGGACAAATGATCTCCCATGAACTTGATATTAATGTCCAAGAAGTGCACATTCAAGGAACTTTTTTGCTCTAATCTTTCTTTGGGCGGTTACTGATGACAGTCTTCCATTTAAAGAATTCCTTATCCAAAGGATCCATGCCAACTATCCCTCTCTCAATCTCCTGTATGGAGGTTTCCCAACTATTTACAACAGTAACCGCCCAAAGAAAAAAGCAACTAGTATTAGCAATAGAGACATACGGCTTACGAAAGAGTGGTTAAGAATGAATGATCTAGTGATGACCAAAGCAGACAAAACTAGGCATTTAGTTGTCATGAAGAGGCATACGTTTGACAAGGAATTACATGCTTACATCAAGAAGACCGAATGTGAAATTGTTGACGACAAAATAATTGGGTCTTTGGACAGAAGGGTCAAGAAGTTAGAACGCTCAAGTCTCGCTGCCGTTTTGCCTTTTCTGAAGAAATGCCACAATCCAAGTTCAGGAGCTCCAAGATTGTTTGCGTTTGCTAAGATGCACAAAACCGGAAATGAATTAAGACCAGTGGTAGAGAAGTGTAGGGGGCCCACCTTTATCTTAGAAAAAAGGCTACATGAATATTTATCCTCACAGCTAGATGATGATAGACTGGTGGCAAAAGATCCTCTTGTCGTAGTGAAGGAAGTGCAAAATATTTCTTTAATGGAAGACGAAGTAGCGACCGTTTTAGATTATGAAAGCATGTATCCTTCAGTAATGATTGAATCGTGTGTGGAGGCATTATTGAATTTCATGTACAACAACAACCCTCAGTTGCTTAGTTACACCCAAGACCTAGAGGAACTAGCTAGCCTGGTATGCCATCAATCTTGTTTTACTTTTTGTGGTCGAATATACAGGCAGAAAAGAGGGGTTCCGATGGGAAGTCCCCTCTCTGGAATTCTTTGCGAGTTAGTAGTTAGAAGATTAGAAAGAGGAGTTGTACGAAATTTTAAGGAAGATGTCATACATTTCGTCAGATATGTGGATGACATTTTTATATTATGGAAAAATAATAGCAGAATACATGAATTTTTGAATAGAATCAATAATAACAAAGATGGTCTTAGATTAAAATTAGAGCAAAAAAGTTCCTTGAATGTGCACTTCTTGGACATTAATATCAAGTTCATGGGAGATCATTTGTCCACCAGCGTATATATTAAACCTACTCACACTCCGCTATATATACCAGCACAGTCCATGGATCCATATCGATATAAAATGGCCGCATTTCAAACTTTGATTAGAAGAGCTTATTTGTATTGTGATAGAATCGGTGACAGGAATAAAGAAATTGATAGTATATTGCAAGTAGCCCAGACTCTAGGTTACAAGAAAAGGACCATTGTAGGATTACTCAAAAAATATGAAAGGATCAAAGAGAGAAAAAGCTTAAATACCGCTCCCAATAGGCGCTTGAAGTTTATATATAATAATAATTTGAACAGTATTATGAAAGAAGTTGCTAATAGGAAACAAGCAAGAATAGTTTTAAAAAGAGCCCCAAATTTATATAAGATATTGAGGAATGATAATGATAGAATAAAAACAGAAGAAAAACCAGGTGTCTATAAAGTTCCTTATGAGAACATCCAACTACTGTAGATGTTATGAAAGACTACATCGGCGTCACCAACAGGAGCTTAGGAGTAAGACTGAAAGAGCATCGTTATAACGTAAAAAAAGGATCCAATGCAACAGTTTTGTCGCAAATGTCGCAAGTCCAAGGTTCGGTGATGAAATGGAACGAGGCAACAATTATAAAACCTGTATCTTCCCCCACTTTATCAATGACGGCAGAGAAGATTGAAATATATAGGAGTAGGCTACGTGAGGGATGTTTAAATGCGAGAGATGCTGAGAGCCTGTCGTCGGCGTGGAAGTACATGATTAAAAAGTTCACTGAAAACTCAAGCTAGAATTAGTTTATTGAAAGATTTATTATATTTTTTAGTTTATTTTGTGTTATTTTTATATATTCTTCCACTTCTCTTGTATATTTTTAAAAATTTTTGTTCTAAATTTTGATTTAAATATTTGTATTCTATACATGGAACGTATCTGTTCCATTTTCGTTTTTTGGACCTGATGATGGC